AGATGCATGGGACAGAGTAATCTAGTAATCTTCCAGGATTTAATCCTGGACTACTGGAAACAACTAGAAGTGAGAAAAGCATCTGTGCTTTGCAGTGACCACTGTCCTGTCAGACAATCAATAAATGCTATCTTTCCTCTTTCAGGTTTTTCAGGGAAATCAAGACTCCTTCACACCTGTGGTGAACTCTCTAGACTCACCGTTACTGACTCGCTACCTTCGAATTCATCCCCAGAGTTGGGTGCACCAGATTGCCCTGAGGATAGAGGTTCTGGGCTGCGAGGCACAGGAGCTCTACTGAGAGTGGCCACAGCAGCACCTGCCAGTGCCCGCACCCCTCCCTCCTCAGCTCCAGGGCAGTGTCCCTTCCTGGCTTGCCTTCTACCTTTGTGCTGACCTTCGGTTTACTTCCTGCCCCACATTGTCCATGGCCCCATTATTTTGCTATGTATTTAAACTATACAGTCCTAGCAGACACTGCCTTGAAGCCTCCCGAATTAACTATCATTAATCCTGCATTTATTTGGTGGGGGGCCAGGAGGGTGCATCCAATTTAACTTAACTCTTACCTATTTTCTGCAGCTGCTCCCAGATTATTCCTTCCTTCCAATGTAACTAGGCAAAAAGTTGTTTTTGCTTCCTTACACATAGACATAATTATGTTATTTAGTCATGAGGGGCACATTCTTATCTCCAAAACTAGCAGTCTTAAACTGAGAATTATAGATAGGGTTCAAGAATCCCTAAGTTTCCTGAAATTATATGGGACATTCTGTATAAATGCAAATGTGCATTTTTCTGACGAGTGTCCATAGATTTAATCTCAGAAAGATGTAGACATAAAACCATTTGGTCTTAACTCTGACCAATAAAAAATAAGTCAGGAGGATGGAATTGTTGAAAGCTTTGAAACAAAATAACTATGTCTTCTTGAAATTTGTGATGGCCAAGAAAGAAAATGATGATGATAATAGGCTTCTAAGGGCATATATTTAATATTTCTGTTAAAATATGAGGAAAATCCATGGTTATCTGGGATAGGAGATACAAACTTTGTATTTTGTATTTGGCCTACTTTGTAATAAATGCAGATGGATTTTTTAAATCTTTGAGGTAGTGCCACATAAAGTCCTAAAGATCTAGCAAATTCTTTGAAAAATCATAAATTCCCATAATGAATCCTGGGGGGACAGGAAGAAAAGGAACTGATAGCAAACAGTTCAAAATTTTGTTGACATCTGCTGTACTAAGAGGCACATGCCCTGAGATAGGAGTTCAGCAGACTGTGCAGATAAAACAGGATGCAGTAAAGAAGCTGGCCAAACCTGCCAAAACCAAGATGGCAGCAAAAGCTTCCTCTGGTGGTCCTCACTGCTCGTTATACACTAATCATAACGCATTAGCATGCTAAAAGACATTACCACCAGCACCACGACAGTTTACAAATGCCATGGCAACATCCAGAAGTTACTGTACATGGTCTGAAAGGAAGAGGAACCCTCAGTTCCAGGAATTCCACACCCCATTCCTGGAAAACTCATAAATAATCCACCCCTTGTCTAGCAGGTGATCAAGAAATAATCATAAAAATAGCCAACCAGCCTATGGAGTAGCCAACCTTTCATTCTTTTATGTCTTAATAATTTGCTGTCACTTCAGTCTGTCAGCTCGCTCTTGAATTCCTTCCTGTGCAAAGCCAATAACCTATGTGACTTCTCAAGTTGAACCCCAGCTTTGAGGTTCGCCCTGTGACACAACACAACAACAGCATAGCCTGCCCTATGAGTGCTTACTGTGCTATAATAATGCACTCAGTTTACTCTCTCCCTCTACTAATTTCCTGCTGAAAATAACACAACAAAAATGTAATGGGAAATTTTATACCATGACTGAAAACTAGAGTCCCACTTACATAGTTGAAGTATCAAGGAGGTCAGAAGAAAATTGGACTGGTGAAAACTGAAAAAACACTCCAGCCTGCCATGTCACCACACAGTAGGATTCCCCATCTTGCCCTCCACCCCAATAATATTGCGAAGGGTTTACTGCTCCTTCCATCTGCCTGACCCCTTCACTAAGACTACACAGAATCTCCTGATTTAGTAAAGGGGACTGGAGGCAAGGATAAGTTATAGAGCAGTTGGAGGAAGCATCTGAAGATTGAAACCCAGGGCAATTTGAAAATAGGAGATCCTAATATGAAAGAAAAATGGATCCCAATCTGAGAAAAGGCAAAAGAATGGCTACTTATTTTCTATGCTGGAGTATTTTCTAATAATCCTGCTTGACCCTGAGCTGACCGCTTTGGAAACTATAACATAGCTGTCACAGTATAGTCACAATCCACAAATGATAAAGGTGAAAATGGTTTATAGCCCTGTGAAGTTCTTAACATTTAGAGGCTAACTTACAGAAATGAATAAGTTGTTTTGTTTTATAGCCCGGTAGAAGAGTTAACCCCAAAGGTGATATGGTTTTATTTCCTGTTATGTTTAACTTGGCAATCTTGTTTGGGCATTCTTTTCCCATTGACTATATACATCTCTATTTCTCAAATGTTAATGGAACTAGTTCTTTTATTTTCCTGCTGGTTTCTTCAGTAATGAGTTAAATAAAACATTGACACATACAAACAAATGCCTTTGAGAATTGTGTTTTTACACTAGAAATAAAAATGTGAGCACTGATATTTGTAAAACAAATAGGGGCACTGAATAGCAAGATGGACACTCTAGAAAACCAAATTAGTGAGTTAGAAAACCAGATTAAATTGAACTCAGAGTAAAAATGATTTAATTCATGAGAGGCTGAATAAAATAAATCAGAAATGGAGTCTCAATCCAGGCGAACAGCTTATATGGAGAGAGAAAGAGACTGAGAGAGAAATGGGAGTTTCTGTTCAATGGGCATAACGTTTCAGTTATGCTGCTGGGCATGGTGGCTCACACCTGTAATCCCAGCATTTTGGGAGGCCAAGGCAGGCGGATCACCTGAGGTCAGGAGTTCGGGACAAGCCTAGCCAACATGGCGAAATCCCATCTCTACTAAAAATATAAAAATTAGCTGGGCATTGTGGCACACGCCTGTAGTCCCAGCTACTTGGGAGGTTGAGGCACAAGAATTGCTTGAACCCAGGAGGCGGGTGGAGGTTGCAGTGAGCCGAGATCATGCCATTGCATTCCATCAGCCTGGGCAACAGAGTGAGACTCCATCTCAAAAAAAAAAAAAAAAAAAAGTTTCAGTTATGCAAGATGAATTAAGTTCTACAGATCTAATGTACAACATTGTGCATATAGCTAACAATACCATACTGGGCACTGAAAAATGTGTCAAGAGAGCAGATACCATGTTGTGTTCTTACTACAATTTTACCACAATGTAAAAATGCATTGTAAACACTATGTGCAAATAGAATAGCAAAGAATGTACACAATGCCCATGAGCATAACATTCCAGTGGACCCACAATGCATTGGAGTTCAGTGAGACTCAAAGGGAGAAGAATGTTAACAAAGTCAGTGGGGAGGGGAAAACGAATGTGATGAAATAGGCGGTCTCATTAAACTTCCCTTACAAAACACAAGATCAAAGATAAAATTATTAAGAATTTCAAGACAGTGACATCAGAGCAAACAAAACATAGGGCCCCTCAGGGTGTGAGGCCCTGTGGACCGGCATAGATCAAACTCCCATGAAGCCAATCCTGAGTCCCAGGCAAGCTGGGACTTTTGGTCATCTAGCAATAGTCATGTGAGTGCACCATCTTGGAAGTAGATCCTCCAGTTTCTTTCAGTGTTTTGGGTCACAACCTAGATACCTTTATCAGTGCCTGGGAATGTTCAAGGTCCCAATTTTCATTCAGGCCTGCTGGCTGGGTCACAGAATGGTCAAGCCACTCCATGATTTTCTATCATGACATAGCAAGAAACTGGGAGAGACTGGAGGACTCTACAAAAACTTTCATTTTATGTATTTCCTGGGAGCCCTGTTTTCTGATAGACCCCTAACTGAGATACCATTTTTGCCGTTCTTCTATGGATAACTATTATTTTTTAAATTTTTAAAATATTTTATATTTTGTAGAGACAGGCTCCTGCTATGTTGCCTAGACTTGATTTGCATTTTTTTAAACTTTAAGTTCTGGGATACATGTGCAGAACATGCAGGTTTGTTACATAGGTATACATATGCCATGATGGTTGGGTGCACCCATCAACCCGTCATCTAGGTTATAAGCCCCACATGTCACCCAGGCTGGAGTGCAGTGGCATGATCATAGCTCACTGCAGCCTCAATCTCCCAGGCTCAAGGCAGGCTACTGCCTCAGCCTCCAGAGTAACTGGGACTACAGGCGTGCACCACCACACCTGGCTAATTTTTAAATGTCTTGTAGAGACAGGATCTCGCTATGTTGCTCAGGCTGGTCTCAAACTCCTGAGCTCAAGCTATCCTTCTGCCTCAGCCTCCCAAAGTGCTGGGATGACAGGCGTCAGCCAGAACTATTTTTTTTTTAAATTAGTTTATAAGAGTTCTTTGTACATTAACAATCTTAATTGAATGTCTGTCGTATATGCTGTGAAATTACTTAATTTGTCATTAATCTTTTATCTTTTTTAAACAATGTTTTGCTATATGAAAGCTTTACATTTTTATGTTATAAATTTATCAGTATTTTCATTTATGGCTTTGGGTTTTATGACATGCTTAGAGTAGCTTATTCTGCACCAAGATTATAAAAATATCCACTCATAGAATTTTCTATCATAAAAGTATGACAGAAATGTCATATTTTATATATGATTTTATTTTTGTTTAGTCCTTGATCCATCTAGAATTTCTATTTTGCATAGCATGGCAAAGGGCTCACACCCAACATCACATTAAATAATGTCTTTTTCCCCAATATGAAATGCCATATTTACCATCTATTGAAGTTCTATATATATGTTATTATAAGGCATAGTTAGATACCATGTGGTGAATAAAATATCTTAGAATTCTTCAAGCCTAAGAGGATACAACTACTGTAAGGATGGGTTTTGGTATAACACAGATGTTTATACATAGACAGAAATTGATGTCTGTGTGCTTAGCTGTTGAATAAGGAGACTGGGGGAGAGTTAAATGTAATCGATGATATCATAAGGAGTCGTGGAATTCTATTTGGAACTTCAGAGACCTAAGGAGAAGACTGACCAGCTTCTTCTGAAGACTTCTGCTCTCTAAAGACTAAGGCCTAATTCCACTGGTTTCTTTGAATTCCGTGGTGCTAAGTCCATTTTCAGGTAAGTGGTTTCCCACTGGATGTGGGTCTCTTTAAGCCCTAGCAAACAGTAGGTGAGTGTATCAGTTATAAATGTCTTAAGTAATAGGAGGCCCAAATTATAATGGCTCAAATAAGAGTATATTTTTCTCATACCATATAGTCCAGAGGTGAGGAGCTACAGGTGTTAGTTTAGTGGCTTGAAATTGTCAGAGCAACTTCAGGCAACATTTCTTAAACAACATTCAAGGCAGCATCATCTCTTTTATCAAGACAGCAAAAAGCCTTCCCAAAAGCTACCCATCAGATTGCCCTTATGTTTCATTATCTAGAGCTATGTCACATAGCCAAGCCTAACTTCAAGGATGGCTGAGAACGGGAGGATTCAGCTTTTTCAGCTTATCTAGTTGGACGTAGTAAATGAAAAACGGGTGGGAACAATATCCGCCAAAAGTCACCATTCATTCAAAAAATATTTATTGAGCACCTGGATACCCTATGTGCTAGGTACTGTTTAGCAGTGAACAAAACAGACAAAAATCCCTGCACTCATACAGCTTACATTATATTCAGGAGATACATATAATAAAGTAAGGTAAAATATATTCTACTAGGTTCTAATGAGGTTTTGGAGAAAAATCAAGCAGGTAAGACAATTAGGAAGTTTGTAGGAGGGTGGTACAATTTTAACAATGGGATCTAAGGAAAATCCTCATTGAGAAGGTGATATTTGAGTAATCAAAGGAGGTGAGGGAATAAATTCTGAGAATACCTGGGGGAAAGGCATTCCCTGGAAAGGGAAAAGCAAGTGAAAAAGCCCCAAGGTAGGAACACGCCTAGCTTGTTCAAAATGAAATGAGGCTAAGTTGGAGTGATGATCAAGAGGAGACTGGTAGGATATGTGGTCAGCAGTAACTAGGACATAATCTGACCTACAACTTACCAAGATCTCTTTGACCACTCACTGGAGAAGAGGCTTAAGGGAGGCAAGGATGGAAGCAGAAAGACAGAGATGATGGTAGGTAGCAGTGGAGGTGGTGTGAAGTGGCAGGATTCTGGATACGTTTTGTGAGTAAAGGTGACTAGACACTTCTGATGGATAAAGTGTATGAAAGAAAAAGAAGAGTCATTATATGTAAACCTAAACAAACATTTACTTTTTAAAGCAATATAAAAGTTTGTTACTTGAATATATAAAATATATTATGGAGTTAAAAATATATGGATATATAGAAATTTATTATATTTGGTATCTAAAGTAGTCAAATTCATAGAAACAAAAAGTAGAATGATGGTTACCAGGACCTGAAGGGGAGGGGTTAATGAGGAGCTGTTTACAGTTTCAGTTTTCCAAGTTGAAAAAGTTCTAGAGATCTGTTGCACAACAATGTGAATATACTTTTTTTGGCCTGAACAGATGAAACAGTTTCTACTAATTGACTTGGGGACGATTGAAAAGGTATCAGGGGTGGGAGGGAATGTCAGGTATCTGACCTGATAGAGGTTTTGTTTTGTTTTCTTGGAGGGGATACATTTTGCTTTGGAAACTGACCGTTTTCAGGAGTCACCTGTGTAAGTCAGTCAATTATCCTTATGTTCATAATGGTGAGAAGATTTTTGGAATATGAACTAAACCATCATTGTCTAACTTTTCAGACAAAGTTTCTGTGGAAAGAGCTACGGACAAAGACCTCTCTCCTTGGCGGAGTGAGCTAGGATTACCATCTCTTCAGCCGCAGCTGAAGGCGGGCGTCCATGGAACCCCAGAAGCTGCTGCTAACTGGATTTCTGCTATGCTCTCTAACTTGCCTCTTGTTGGAGACAGTAGCTTCCTCTCCTTCGCCTTTGTCTGCCTTGGGAATACAAGAAAAAACAGGATCGAAACCACGCTCAGGGGGTGTGTTTGCTGTTAGGATGAATGTTCCTTTCTTCATAGGACTTAAGATTCATGTTTCAGGTCAGGTAAAATGAATTTCATGTTTAAAAAGAATGTTCATAGGAAAGCAAACTATTCTGGTTTGGTTCAATTTAGTTCAACAAGCATTAACCTACCTACTATGTACCAAGTCCTTTTCTGAACTACATGGATTAGGAATTGAACAGCCTCTGTTATGAAGGAGCTCACGGATAGGCAGACAAAGTCATAGATGCCAACCTTCCATGGAGCATGATCAATGTCCCAGCGGACAAGGGGATAATTTAAACTGTTTTTGGGGAGGGGTCAGGAAAGACTTGACAAAGGAGGTGAAATTGACAATAAACCTGATGGTCCACTGATCCACAATCTAGGTTCCAACATGCTATTCAAGTGTCTTGCTGGTTAGTGGTGAATCCTCTCAACTCCATGCTGCAGACACTTTCATTTTCCCCTACTTCTTTCTTTAGGGTCAAAGCACTGTACTTTCCTCCCCCAGTTGCTAATGAAAAGACCCAACAGCCCGAGCCTTACATTGATCAGCAAACTCCCCCTAGAGGTCCTTATTCCAGTTTCCCTGGCCCCTTCCTCCTCTGCTCTTAGGGCTGGTGGCCTTCTCCTTTCCCTTCCTGGGATACTCCCTCCCCTTAGCCTCCTGCAGGACTCCCAGAGATATACTCTAGGCAGCAACACTTTAGTAAAGACTTTCTTGTTATCAATTCATGCTTCTCTTTCAAAAAGTACCCAATATACTCGAAACAACCCTTAAGGTATCTGAAACAACAATTATTGATCCTATTTGACTTACAAGGAGGCAAAAAATTATATCCATCTAAGGATACTTTAAAAACAAAATGTTTGCCCTTTGAACATCTTACAGCCAGCACAGCAAAGTAGTTTAGGATATGGGCTCTGGACAACTATAAGAACATGATATCTGGGACAACTATTTGAACTTGAATTTGGATTCAAACGCCAGCCCTATCATTTACTTGACCTCTCCTCAATGAACATCTATGCTCTTTCTGCAGGTAATGACAGGTCCTGGCTGAACAACTTCAGGGATTACTTATGGCAACTTATCAAGAGTGCCTTACCTCCAGCAGCCATTGTTGCTTTTCTTCTCACCTCAGCACTAATGGGGATCCTCTGCTGCTTCACGTAAGCTTCTGCGGGAAGAAGAGACGAGGAGGAGAGAGGGAACGTGAAGGGGGGCGGGAACAGAAACAGGTTGCTCACCAGCCTGCATATCTGTAATTAAGGGAAAGTTTTAAGAAATTCAATTCTGGGAGGAAAACTGTGAAAGGTCATGCAACCCCTTTTTAAAATGTCTTCTCTACTTTCTCTTTTATTTCCTCCAACTTGCTCCATTTGTTACCAATGACTGACAGGTCACATTTAATGACCAGTGTTTACAACTGGTCATTTCTTTTATCAACTTTATTAACTCCTAATTTTTCTTCCCTGTGGCTCAAGAACTATACATAGAAAATATATAATTAGCTGTGCTCTCAATTTCCTCAAAATTTACCATAATATTTATCTACATAAATCATATGAAGCCAAAAGAATCCTGAGGAAAACAAAATAGTTGAGCTAAATTTTGTTAATTCAGCCAGTATTTACCGACAAATGACTACTTGCCTGTCTGTGTGCTGGTTGCTAGAAAGACAGAGAAAGAAAGCAATTAAAAGAGCTCAAAAATCTAAGGAAAGTGGCTGAGGATAAAGATCAGATCAAGGGTGTGGCATCACCTATGGCTCCTGTAACCTCGAAATGATCACAGGATCAAGAACTGTGTCTAGGAAGCAACCTTGGATGTGGTTACTGGCACATGGAACTGATTGGAGGCAAATAGATTAGATATCAGCTAAGCTTTTGAGAGAAGCTTATTGCCAGAGAAACCATAAGCCAGAACTAAATGAGCCATCAGTTGTGAACAATAGTTAGGCCTCCAACCTTCCATGAAAAAGAAGGACACCAGCTTTGAAGGTCCCAACATTTGCTTCAGAAGAATAATGGATCAGAAGAGCCTCCCAGAGAACGGACAAAGGGCCACAGAGCCACCCTTTGAAAGCAGGATTTGGGTCTAATCGATGCCTACCCACCAGGACTCCAGGATTGCCACAGAGCAATGACTGCTGTGTGTCTCTCGTTCTTCCTCTTTTCAAATAGGAATGTTTATGGTGCTTATCCTCTTCCTGTTCCATCGTTATTCTGGGTTGTAGAGATCAGGAGCAGATCACTTAACCAAGCAGAGCCACCCCCAGACTTGAGATAACTCAGCATCACCAGATACTCTGGACTTTGAGCTGGACACAGTGATAAATGAGATTTAGTCCTGAGGAAAGGGTTTGCCACAAGTCAGGTATTCTGAAAGTAGACAGGGAGACCAGAATTTGGCATTCAGGGTATTATTAATGATCAACGCCTGTGGAAGATATGGGGTGGAAGGGAGAAATCAAACTGTCTTGCAAGCCCAACAAAGACTCAGTCAGCCCCATCAGAGTTGTCCCACATGGCTGAAATGGCTGGACCTCTCTAACCCCACCTAGATCATTCACTGGATGTGGGCTGTTCCCAGAAAGTACATGGAAGCTCTCTGCAGCTGAGGCAGCCTCTGAATGAGCTAACAGGTAGAGGCTCTCTGCTGACAACACTCTCAGCAGCTAGGGAAATAAGGCCTTTCTCAAGCAGAAATATGGGTGGAATATTTCCATATGCATGACAGGGTGGCTGTGTTCCACATATGAAAAGAAAAGTGAAACAGATACTGGATGATCAGAAAGACAGACTGTAACAGAGACTGGCTATTTGTTCAGCAATCCTGTTCCTTCTTCCCCAAGCACAGAGTAACATTATATTCCCAACCTTCCTTCCAACAAGGCTGGGACCACAGTACTGAGATTTGGCCAGTAAAATACGAGCAAAAGGAATGTATGACATAAAATGTCTTGCACATGTGTCCATGCTACCTCTCTCTTTCGCATATGCATGGCTTCAACTGAAGGACTCTAAGGTGGTGAAGTCACATGATGGAAGGAGCTGGGATCCCTGAATCACCTCATGGAGGAGAACTTAACCTACATCAGAATGAGTCATGAGTGAAGGATCAATTTTATTGTGTTAAGCTACTAAGACCTCAGGACCGTTATAGCAGCTGAATATCCCTGAATAGCATACCTAGTAACCAACCAAGGAAGCTGGAACTCAAATAAGATATGTCTGGTTCCACATCTTTGAAGTCACTGTTACTCAAACTGTGGTCGGCAGGTAAGCTGCATCAAAAGCATCAGAAGTATTGGTTAACCATGCACATTCAGAGGGACTTCTGTGAAGATAAGGCAGACTATATGCCAACAAAAATAATTCCTTCTTTGAAGTAGATGGCTTAACCTGAAGAGAAAAGCCAATAAGCCCTTACTGGGAACAAGCAAGCTAACTAGTGAAAGAAACATTTCTGAACCCAACTGGGCACCAAGTAGAAGCCTAACAGATAAATTTGAATGAATAAGCATATAGGCAAGCCATATTTTTAAGAAGCAGTCTGTTGAGGCAAGAAGGTGAAGTCTGAAACTTCTTTATGCTCAGACCTACAGCTGCTGCTCTCACTTGGCTGGAAAGAAGTAAAGGCTATAAGAGCTTACACATACCTCAGCATCATGAAGATAATTTGTTAGTCTAAAGTATAGCGCTGGTGACTTGTGCAAATCTCCTGTAAATAACTGGTCCAGTAAGAGTTTATCTCATTCAACAGGAAACAGCACCAGATCTATACTGAGTTACTGTATGGAAAAGACAAGAAACATATAAGCAAGAAATGGCAGATGAGGAATACTCACTAGAAAAATATCTCAGGGCAGATAAAAACTGTGTACTAACATATTGCCATAAATTCAAAACATTTGATACAAAATATAAAATAATAGCTAAGGTCAGGCATGGTGGCACATGCCTGTAATCCCAGCACTTTGAGAGGCTGAGGCGGGAGGATTGCTTAAGGCCAGGAGTTCGAGACCAGCCTGGGAACACAGCAAGACCTCATCTCAATAATAATAATAATAATAATAATAATAATAAAAGCTATATGCAGAAATAAAACAGGGCAGATAAGGTATACTAAAACAAAAGGAGAAGATGAAAATTAGATGGAAAATCCCAAGAAAAATGTAAAAGACAAAAAGTAAAACTATCACCAAAATGAGGAACCATGAAGAAAGAGAGACATTGGTACAAAATATGAAAGAAAATATGCAAAACAGGATTACATAGGCAAGCAGTATTAAACAGTTTGGTGAAAGTAAGATTAGAGAAAAAATGGTAGATATAGGAGGCACAGAATGATTTCTTTGATTAAGAGAACCAAAATAATCCAACAGAAGAAAAAGTTATAATTTTTTCTTTTTCTTTTTTTTTTTTTTGAGATTAAGTCTCAGTGTGTCACACATGCTGGAGTGCAGTGGCGCCATCTCAGCTCACTGCAACCTCTGCCTCCCGGGTTCAAGCGATTCTCCTGCCTCAGCCTCCTGAGTAGCTGGGATTACAGGCACGCGCCACCACGCCTGGCTAATTTTTGTCTTTTTTGTAGAGATGGGGTTTCACCATGTTGGTCAGGCTGGTCTCCAACTCCTGACCTCGTGATCCACCCGCCTCGGCCTCCCATAGTGCTGGGATTACAGGCGTGAGTCACAGAGTCTGGTCAAGTTATAATTTTTTAAGTGTTGCAGGAATTAAAGAAGACTGAAGTCTGTGGTCATAAAGGACACATCAATTCCCAGGAAAAATTGGGACTTGGTACTGGGCACATAGTAGACTCTCAGTAATACTTGTTGATTTTTAATTAAGACATTTCACAGTGAGGATTGCAGTCTTTCTGTGCCTCATTCTTCCTCCTCTATACTCACCTGTATATACCATTAGCTGCAGCTGTAATGAAGGCTTAAGCTAGCTGCTTATTACCTGAGGCACATGAAAGCTTGGCTAATCTCCCAGCATTCCAGAAGCAGAGGTGGCAATCAGGAGGACTGACAGGCTCTAACAAGTCCACAAAGATATGTGTACAAGGAATTTTTAGTATGGTTTTCAATAGTGAAGAAATGAAAACTTAAATGTCCATCAGTCTGGGGCTGGCTAAAGAAAGCATTGCACATTCATACAATGAGTACTAAGAATAATTACACGGAAAGATATTCATGAAATATCATTGAGTGGAAAAAACAGATTATAACAGAAGATACATAGTTTAGTCTAATTTCTTTTTAAAAACTAATCATATAGGGGGAAAGCCTCTAAGAACCTTACCGAAGTATTAGACATTGGTTATCTCCTTGTGGTAGTGAGTAGATTGTTTTCTTATTATTGGTGGTGGTGTTAACTTTTTTTTCCCCATCTAATTGCACTTTCTGATCTTTCTACAACGAGCTATCTTGTTTGGTCAGTTCATTTTTAAAAAGATACTTTAAAAACAAAAGAAGAAAAACTACCTAACCATACTTATACCACTACCTCCAAGCCCCACTGTACTGGAAACACATTCTGCTTTTTCATCAAAGCATTTTGTTTGTATGGAATTATTTGGTTCATATTAAGAGAAAAAGTGGTGAAAAATCCAATCTTTGAAAAAGGGATATAATTACATAGTAACTCTGTGCAGAGCATTTACCATTTTATCTTCTTTTCCCAGCATTCTTGTAGTTGACCCAGTCCAGTGAAGAACTAGAAGATTCAACAGGGCACATGTGGTCTCTCCGGTTGGACTCCAAAAGAGTGGGGCATTTGCTATCTGCTTAAAATGAGGAAGTATCTATCAGTTAAAATTAAATTGTCTTCCAACTTGAATTATCTTTGCCTTCATTTTCTCCTTCAAAAGTTGCAATTTTAAAATGTGAATATCCTTATTACTGTTTTGATTATAATAGTAACACATATTTATTGCAAAAAAAAGTTGAGAAATACAGAGAAAAGAGTAAGTTTTCATAATTCTAGCACCCAGAAATAAACATCATTAACATCTTGATGTACCTCCCTTCAATTTTTTTTCTATATATGTATTACAAGTTTTCCAAAGTCTGTTCTGTGAAACAATAGTTCGTTTTAATAAAAGTCACAAAACAGTGAGGGCCCTGTGGTCAGTTATGTTTGGGAAATGCTGGATTAAACACATTTAAACACATTAAACCTATTTTTCTTTGCTCCAGGACTTCTAAGAACTTTTAACAGGCTAATATTAATCTCCACAAGTGAGTATAATATATAGCATTTCCCAAACTAATTTAAACATGAGATTTTTTTAATGTAGTGGATATGACATGAGTCATTTAACCACCTCCCTATGTAATAATTATTTAAGGTGTTTCTATTTATTCAGTATTATAAATGTAATACAGGTAATATTATTAAAAATTATTGGCCAGGTGCAGTGGCTCACGCCTGTAATCCCAGCACTTTGGAAGGCTGAGGCGGGTGGATCACCTGAGGTCAGGAGTTGGAGACCAGCCTGGACAACATGGTGAAACCTCATCTCTACTAAAAATGCAAAAATTAGCTGGCCGTGGTGGCGCGCCCCTGTGATCCCAGCTACCCAGGAGGCTGAGGTGGGAGACTTGCTTGAACCTGGGAGGTGGAGGCTGCGGTGAGCTGAGATACTGCCATTGCACTGCAGCCTGGGTGACAGAGCAAGACCCTGTCTCAAAAAATAGATATATTAATTTGCTTTTCCTTTTTGCTGTTCTGAGTTTGAAATCATTCATTCAACAGACACTTGTTGATCACCTACTGTGAGACAGATACTGGACAGGTAACAAACAGATGGGGTCTTGCTCTGTCACCCAGGCTGGAGTGCAATGGCACTATCTAACCCCCCCTCCCCCCTCCGCCCAGCTCTTGTGGAGCCACCATGCTAATGTGAGGATTCAGATCCTTCAAACAGCCACATGGTGCTGAGGCAAGAGCATCCCTAGCATATTTGAGTGGTAGCAGAAAAACCAGATTAAGCGAGGGGCAGAGCAGATATTGTGAGCCATTGAAAGGATTTAGGCTCTTCCTGGGGGCCATAGCAGGGGCCAACAGAAGGTTTAGATCAGAGGAGGGATGTGAAGGGAGAGCAGATGGGATTTGATTAGGATTTGGATGAGATGAGAGAGAGAGAGTGAGGCTTCAAGGATGCCTCCCAGGTTTTTGGCCTGAGCAAATGAAAGAATGGGGTTGTCATTTGTTGAGCTAGAGAAAACTGCAGGAGGTTAGGAATTTACTACAGAGAAAGCCAAGGTGAACTCAGAAAAGACTTCGAGTTTTGTTTAAGTCCAATGTTTCCTTATTGACTGTCTTTCTGGATGATGTGTCCACTGTTGAGAGTGGGGTGTTGAAGTCTCCGTGTTGCTGTCAATTTCTCCCTTGGGTTCTGTAAATATTTGCTTTATATATTTATATATTTATATATTTAGCTACTCCAATGTTGGGTGCATACATATATATATATATACACATATATATATTTACAGTTGTTATGTCTTCTTGATGGATTGAAAGGAAAATAAATCTCCCCCAAATGACCAAGCCAAAGGGAAAAGTCAAGCTGGGAAGTGCATTAGGCAAACCTGCCTCCTATATAAAATAACTACAAATATATTTTTTTAAAGCTACATACCTTCCTCACAATTTGCCCATGAAGAAATTCCTTGTAAACAAAGGACAGGCAGAACTCAAAGTTATCCCTCTGCTCACATGAGACAAATGCATATCTGATTGCTTCCTTTGCCCTATTGTTTCACAAAGTCAGACTAAAACATAAGTGACTATTCCTGCTCTCACATGTAAATTGTGTATTCAGTGAAAGGCTAATCAGAAACTCAAAAGAATGCAACCATTTGTTTCTTATCTACCTATGACCTGGAAGCCCCCTCCCCACTTCAAGTTGCCCTACCTTTCTGGACCAAACCATTGCATATCTTACATATACTGATTGATGTCTCATGTCTCCCTAAAATGTATAAAACCAAGCCTTAGGCACATGGCATCAGGACCTCCTGAGGCTGTGTCATGTGCATGTCCTTAACCTTGGCAAAATAAACTTTCTAAATTCACTGAGACGTGTCTCAGATATTCGAGGTACACATTTGGTGACCACAAAGAGACTGAGTGGAGGTGGCCCTGACCTTTGACAAATCTCCTATCAGTACTTGGTACCAACTTGAGCTCAAACCAATAGAACAATTTGCTGAGGCCTGGGAGCTCCTCTCCCTCCAGAGAATCCCTCATCTCCCAAAATTTGGTTGAGATCTAAAGTTCATTTTGCTGTACAACTACTTTTCTGGAGTTTTGCTTGCTTCCAACAAAGAAGGCAAGTTTTCCTGCTTCCATGACAATGAAAGGCAGATAACTGCATTCTGGAATTTGAGCTCACTTCCAACAGGGAAGGTGAGTTAGAGTTTTTTCCTGCTTCTGGGATGGTAGAGAGCAGTCTTCAGCCTGAGACCCACTCCTAGGTAAGAAGCTGAATGGGAGTTTTGTCTTGGCTAAAGTTATGGTTAACAGTCAGCTGGTCTTAATTTCTCCTTACCATTAGAGGACTCAGTAATCATATTGTTGGGGTTCTTTTGTTGTTTGTTCCAGTATTTCTCCCATCACATTTGGCCAATTCTACTGGACTTGGTAAAATCCGAATGAGAATTCCAAATAATGGGTAACAAGGTATCTCTGAATCGGCTAAAATTCCTTGCAGCTGCAAAAGAGAAAAAAATGACCAAACATGCACTTGCTTTGTGTGTTTGCTCCCTGTCTTAAAAAAATAATTGTTCTTTCATTTACTTTTCTTCCACCCTATTCCTCCTTCTCCTCTCGCCATCTTTGGTACCAAGAAGAATCTAAAGAAGGCATCTAATGACTTTAACCCTTTAAAGAACTCAGGACAAAGACACCATTCACTCCTCTGGGGGTGTTCTGTTTTCTTTGTGGAGTTTCAAGAGTCATGGGCAGAGTCTTGTTAGGTCTAAAGCTCTCCTCTCCTGTATTGCATTACCTGATCTCTTCGGCTTTTGGGGGTGAAGTGGCTACGTTGTCTGGGGTATACACCCTGGGGTTCGTTGTCATGCACCAGGAAAATTTAGGACATGGACACACACAAGGAGTTTAGGAGCAGAGGTTTAATGAGCAAAAGAGAAGAGAAAGAGAGCAGCTTTCTCTATACAGAAAGGGGTCTCCCAGTGGAAAGGACCAGCAGGTGGTGGATGCGCCAAATTTTAGTCAGGTTTGAGGAGGCGGTGTCTCATTTACATAGGGCTCACAGATTGGTTCGATCAGGTATGATGTTTACATGGTGCATGGGGAAGGCTGGTGGCCCCAGCTGAATATTATTATGCAAATAGACTTTCCAGTTGATTAGAGCCATCTTGCCTCTCTATGTCTGCAGCTGGACTTTACAGGCTGCTCTTTGTTAGAAAATTATTTGGGGCTGCTTTTCATTAAACACAAAAACCTTACCCCATACCCTTACTATCTGCCCAAGTGATTTCTTCTTAAGTCCTGTATCAGGGGTACCAGAGATTACCTTGTGCTGTGAGAGGATTTGACCTTGGCATGTGTAATAGCAGACAAGAGCTACAGTTAAAGGTGGCCGAGGACAGTTTACAGAAGGTGGTCTTGGCTGGGTTTTTTTCCTCCTAGGAAGTTGTTTAGGATCTCAATTCTAATTCAGAGGTACATTCTAAAGAGTCTTCTCTGTTGCCTTTCCTCCCCAAATTAATGTCCATTGGCTTGTCTGCATATTTGCATGAGGAACTGCACTGTCACTTTCATAGATAAATGAGACTGAGTTTCCTCAACTCCAAAGAGAAAGGGCATTTTGCTCCTCCCAGTCAAAAAAGGTGCTCCTCAGTGACTGGAGGCCAAGTGGGAGTGTCTGGGGGTTGCCTCCCTTTGATGTGCAGTAGACCTACAGGGAACTGCCAACAAAATTAGTTTTAGGAAGGGCGGATCACGAGGTCAGGAGATCGAGACCATCCCGGCTAACACGGTGAAACCCCGTCTCTACTAAAAATACACAAAAAACTAGCCGGGCGTGGTGGCGGCGCCTGTGGTCCCAGCTACTCCGGAGGCTGAGGCAGGAGAACGGCGGGAACCCGGGAGGCGGAGCTTGCAGTGAGCCGAGATCGCGCCACTGCACTCCAGCCTGGGTGACAGAGAGAGACTCCGTCTCAAAAAAAAAAAAAAAAAAATTAGTTTTAAAAGGTTCATCCAGGGAGCACATATAGGAGCTGCTCACCCCAAGCTTTGAGCCCTCCCAGGGGTGCTAGACCTCTGGAGAGAGAAACTGAGACACAGAAGAGGACTGAAGCGATTCAGTGGTGATGCACTGGGGAGTCCTGTCCACAACCAGCACACTTTGACCCACCACATTAAACCCTAGGCCACAGCTCAGTTCCTCCTTTTAAGAAAAAAAAAAATGTGGGAAACACATCATCTAAGAATGAGGAAAGGCAAGGAGAACAACCCCCCCCCGCCCTTGGAACCCCATTTGGTTTTATGGCTCCTCGACTTGCAAGTAGCTGTGTAAATAGAAGGGCATGCCAGATTTTCTAATACTCCAGCTGGTTACATGTTAGGTCTGTTCTTGTGCACATTTTAAACTGACAAGCAAATTACATCAAGGAAAATTCAGAGCCTGAAGGTCGATTGCAACTATAAAGCTCCTAAGTTCTCTATCTCTTTGCTTTCTTTTCTGCCTGCTTTAAGTCTGTTGTTACTTTTCTACTGAGATAAAATCCACTGTTTGCACCTAACCATTTCTTTTTGTTATTGTTTTTGCAAACCAATGAGTTGTTATTAATATCTCATGGCTAGAGTTCTGAAGTAAATGCTCTAGGATATTTGTTTATATGAGTATGTATGTGTGTGTTTATGTGTATGTAGACGTATTTTGTTATATGTTTTCTGCCACAAGGTACCAAATTTGGCTTAAAGAGTACTCATAAATTAAATAATAAGCCAAATGCTTTTCAAGCTCACATGACTTAAGTAGAAATTTTAATAAGCTAGCTTTAAAATTATTGGTAGAGTAATATTACAAATATCTTCAGAAATGTCAGCATACATTTTTGTTTGCATTTATTGATCAAGAGATT